AGTGAAAATTATTCACAACTCTGCCACCGAACGTCCGCATGTCAAGGTAAATCAAGTTGGTCAAGTTGGTCTTAAAACTCCGCAAATGTCACGTTTACTTGAATGAAGCTTATGAGAAAGTTGCCACCTGCGGGCGGCATATTTGTTTGTAGGATACTACAAACCAAAGGTTCGTCTAAGATCCAGTCGTTGTTGTCGCTCAAACCAGATAGGCTGTGTGTATTTTAGATGTGTATTTTCCAAGGTTTTTTTCCAGTTCTCGCTCAATCTCGTCAATTTTAGCTTGTTTGAAAAGTATATAAAATAAACGAAATGATCAGCAGTCACGGCAGGCACCTATTTATAATTAGTACATAAATTTCAACAAGTATTTTTGAATTTTAAGCAGCTTGAAACCGAGCTCTTAAATTTTTACCTGTATGGTCACTTAAATGGCTTATTCTTTGGGCCGGATTTAGAGAGGCCGCGGGTCATTTCAATGGTCTATACCGAATCAGGAATGTTGTTTAAATTTGTTGAAACTACTTACGCCCAGTTCAATATCTTTGCGACCTAACCTAAGCATTGCCCACTCATGCAAAAAGCAAGTCCTTCGGTCCGCAGCATAAAGGTAAAATTTTCACGCTCCAACTTTTTGAGAGAGACTTGGCCCTCGAAATTTTGGCCACAAATCTGCAGTTAAAAATTTTGTCCACCAGTTCCCTACAGATATAGCTGATTCTGTAGGTCCTTTACCAGCGAAAATTCCACAACTGAAAACTAAAAATTTTATTTATTCTTTACGATCCGGCTACAAAATCTCAGGTTTTTCTGGCAAGTTTCTTGCCCTCGTGGCTTATACATATCGGGCTACATGTTACAAAAAGCCTCGTCTCGAGGCTGTGGAAACTAAAACACTGATCCTTACAAAACAGATTGACTCCTGTCATTTGTATAAATACTCAGCCATAAAAATCTATTCTGGCGAACTTGTCACGTTTGGTGCTTAATGTGATATGCTACCTACTTTACCTAGTTCAGGTAATTATCAAGATTACTATCTTCATAATTAAAAATTATTCAGTGTCGTCGTAGACACTGTTTTACCCGCTGCGGAACACAAAACCCGGTAAATTTCTTTCAGTCTGCATTTACATATGACTGAAAACTATATTTGCTCCTTTAAATGTTAGCTCAAACAAGGAAGCAACTTCTGAATGTGAATTTTCTTCATCTTAGTTCTAGAGCATGCTTGCTGTTTTTACTAGGAAAACTTTGCAGCAGAACGTTATGAGCTGCGTGATTCACTTTGAGGGGTGGACGGGACTCGTAGAAATACTCTGAAATAAGGCAATTAGCCCTTAGATCTGGTGCCGAGAAAATCGACCAAACCCCTTTCCTCATGAGCGGGAATTATTCGAAGCGTACACAATATATGTTACTTTTGATAATCTCAAGACGGCATTTTATAGAGAAATATCGTTAGCCTTAGAAATGAGTATCCATAAGTCGTGTTATTTCTTTCACCTAATCGATTTGCAATCAGTTGTCCGATACGAATGAATTGCAACTGTCATGCTCACAAAACAAAGATGACGGCGGCCCAAACCTCAAACTCTAATTTTTTTCTTGCAAAACAGAAATGTGTGTCACAGTGCAAATACATTATTCGTATGTACGGTATATCCATTTTGTATGCACATCTATTACTGATATGGCGTAGATTATAGACATTACATTTTCAGTTTATCTCCCCTTTGATATTAGTTAGTACTCCAAAAACTATTTTGACTTCCAAAACGTCTTGTGTGGATAAGAAGAAATAAACAAAAATGTTGTGAGGCTCAAAATGCGCGATTTGATATATCACAATCATCTTTGCGATCAGAAGTCAGCGTTTCGTACTTTTTGCTTGCCTAAATTACAAAACAGTAGTATATCTAGGTGTATGATAATGCTGATTAAACATCACCGACATTTAGGGCTAAAAGGGCCTTAGCGAACGAAACACAGGCTCTACTTTACTCAAAATTTATTGTCTGTCTTTCAGTTAATACCTTTACAGATACAATAATTTTACTGCTTATCTGATACGCCGAACGGAGTTTTTAATTTTTAAGGATAGCCTGTATCATACCTAGAAACAATAAGAAACAAAACCATCCATATAAGGCACTACTTATATGAGCTCATTCTACATGTAGTGTTACCTTAGGCGCAGATGTCCTCAAGGTGCTTGTGTAAGACCGCCAAATTAGTACCATAAAATACCTTTCGGAGATTCGCACAAAAATATGTTGAGCCACTTTGACGAAGACAATAACTGGTCGAGAATAACACCCATATTTAGTTGCGTTCTTCTAGTAAACAGATTGCTAATCATGATATTACTGACGCATTTTTTCTTATGTTTGCTGTTTCATGCAAAGTGTTTATAAATATTGTAATAAGAAAAACCATATTTTCAAGTTAAAAGACCAGTTCTTACAGCTACATTTTTGCGGACATTTTCATCCCAAACTAATAATTTAATAAGTTGTCTTCCATATCTCCTATCTTCTTCTATATTCTGTTTGCACTTGCCCACAAACGAGAAAAGCCCATTAAGGCAATAATTAGATATCGATTTTCCAATAAGCATTCAATAAGAGCCGAAAATTCATCGTTCCACAAACAAGGTAAACGTTTTTTCATGACAGATTACTTCACAAGATTCACTAGTGATTCTGCGAGGTGCGTAGTTCTTCGGTATGGCTTTTTCCGAATTTCAAAGAAACTGCAAACTTAGTGACCAGTGCTGAAAATACAGGCTGGCTGCAGAGATTGTGCTAGTGGCTGCATAAAAATTATATTGAAAATGATAAGAATTATTGTGTTTTAAACATAACATTGAATGGTCATCACCTCTTTTCAGATATCGTTTGAATATATCGTTTGAATATAAAGATGCTCGTAAACATCCCAGCGTTCGTTTGGGAATTTCTTTCCCGCATAATTAAACAGTTAATTTTGTGGCGGAAGGGAAACCAAAGGAACAAAAACTGATAAACGTGCTTCACAAATGTGTTCACTTTTGGTCGGTTATAACACGGTACCCATATTCAAAGTGCCGACAGTTTCTATTATTCGTTAAGTTTGCTTACTGGAGAATTCGAACGGCGTTGACTGAGGCAACTTTGCTGATCCGCACACTATAAAAGCGTTTTTCACCCAACCGCATACCAAAGTGGTTCGAAAATAAAAGCGCAATTTTTATGACAAACTTGTTAGAGAAGAGTGGTTTCCAAAGTAACAGCAATTCCGGTTTGCAATTTGAGCACATAAAATTCACCCAAGTGACTTTCTTCTTTTGACAAGAAAGCCTTCTACAAAATGTTTAGCTTTACTAAAATTACAAACATTTTATGGTGGTTTTGACCGTTTAGCATTCCAAAATATCTTCATGCTTGTTTGTTTCCTACGCTTTACCCCAATATTATTTTGAACAAATAAACTTGCCCGCTCTAAATTTCTGTGTCGTGTACAGTTGCCCGCTTTCCTCGTCCAGACTATGAATCGTTTTCTGCCTTTAGTTAAATGTCATTTGTCCTGCACTGATGTAGTGCAACTGTTGGGCTTTTTGTATGGTCTCATACTCATCATTCACTCTGCTAATCTGGACTTGGTGCGTATTCTTATCGACACATATCAGAAAATATGGATGACACCGAGATCAAGCGAATTTATGCGTTCGACTTGACCGCGAACAGAAAATTTTAAGGTTTATAGCAAACACCTCAGAGATCACTCAGAGAATAATAACCTAAGAAAACTTTACTCCCAAACAGGAACCCCTAAAATTCATGCTTCCGTCGAGTTTTTCCTATCACTGATCTATTGCTGGTGAACTCCGTATGCAGTGACACTCCACTTGGTGATGATCATGCAGCTTGAAGTTTTTTCCTTTACAAATACATAAACAGCGCGATGCCCCGTTCAAGTTTTAAGTAACGAATAAATGGTATGATATTCACTTAGTAGCTGGAAGCTCACAGGCTCAATAATCTCCAGGTTAATGAGGTCTACTCTGTCGATGAGTCTTAAAATGGATAGAATTGCTGAAGGGAGCTCCTTGACTTTTTATCATTTACTTCGCTACTTGCAGCTTGGTGTTCATCTCAAATTATCTTATCGATCAGTGTTTCTGACGTTCATTGGTGAACAGTATGAGGTGCAATTCAAAGTTTTGAACTGAAAACACGGAGTTTATACGTAGCTTTCTAGCAGCCGTTGACCATTCGGTTTTTTCAATTGCCCTGCCAAATCTGAGTTTTTAAACTATGCAGTAACTGGTTCACCGTTGCTTGATGATGTAGGAAAGTACCAGGTGCGTTTTGAAGCCAAATTAAGCAATGCTTCGTCAGTGTCGTTTGGCACAAAAAGTTTAGGTGTTTTTGAATGGCATGCATGAAGACACATTTACTCAGAGGTCGTTTAGGGGATCGGTTCAAAATGCAGGACTTACGTATATTTGGAAGGCACCCACTCAGAGACCGTTCTGGACGTAATCTTCTATATCTCCACTTAAGTGCCGTGAAACTGGTGCCTTGATTCAGTCCCTGGAGAGGTAAGTAGCTAAGCGAAAACCTGTCCACCATATTTTATCGCAACTTAAAATGAACCTTTTTTATACTCCATAAGCTAAGACCCAATCCGGGGTAATTTACTCTTGAAGATACGGTACGACTGAATCCAAAGTCATAGTTTCATTTATAGTACTGTGGAACTCAAAATTGTTCAGCTATACACGTGGCGGATTCGATCCAGAACCACATAATGTTATAGTAGCCTCACTAAATCCACAGGGCTCCTATCATCATTCGAGCTCCCTGCTAACACCGTTTGTCTTGAAAGTTTAATATATATTGAATTTATATTAGATTGTATACACTATATTATATATGTTCAATTTGTAGAATGATTCAAAACGCGGAAGTAACTAAGGACTATTCATACATAAGTGTGACCCATTAGTAACTTACTTTTGTATCGCAATGCAGGCGGTTGAACTTATTACAAAATAAATATGCCTCATCAATCGGTATGTATTTTGCACTTGGCGAGTGGACCCGTGGGTAGGGAGATCCAGCGTGGTGAGTTATATTCGCTCCAGGTTCCCTGGTAGTCATCTGACACTCCAAACTAATGGTTATATTTATCTATCACCGAATTTCAACTGTGTTCTACGTTGAACTTTCATCCCGATAATTCCGTCACAGTATTTTTCATGACATTGTACAATGCGGTGTTTGGAGAAGGCTTGAACGCAGCTCATTCAAACGAACTTTTGTGAGACATGTACGATGAGTGCAACAGTTACATATGGGTGTAGGGCGGCAAAGATTCATGGGCTCAATCCTTTGTGTAGTGCGTCTCGGCTCAGAGGAGGGCTCAGAGGGAGTAAACTATGCCCCTCATCTTCCTCGGTGCTAGGCTGTAGGGATCTTAGGATATTATATACATGGTACGCAATAGGGTTTGAATACCAATGGAACGGATGTCCATATTTTTAGCGGGGGGCTGTGGATATATAATATACCCGATATTGCGGAAGGAACAGAAATCACCGGGCTCTGTCGATTGACGCCACGAAATGAGGCGCTCACATAATATATGATCTGGACTACTTCAAGAGTTTGTTACCACGGGCAACAACAAATAAATTTTCGCGTGACCTGGTCGTAGCCTGCTGAAAAACGGCTAACTTCAGTGCTCAAACAATTGCAAATTTTTGGAGAGTGTGAAAAAATTGAGACCGGGATTGAAGGGGACAGCGTGTGGAGATGAGAGAAACATGAAGTTGGCAGCACCCAAGAGGGAGTAGGTCTAGGAGGAACAGTCCTCTAAGAAGAGATTGCGAGTTTGTACCCTTCTGTAAGGCATTCCCTAAAGTAAGTCCATTAAGTTTCGGTCACAGAAGCTGGGGAACTCCGCAGTTATCCAAGCAGACCGCATGAGATGGGAGTAGGGGTAGCAGAATTCAATAATTTATGATGGGCAACCAATGATGAATGAGGCTAACCATTTTTACAGTCTTTTGGTGGAGTGAAGGCGTATGAGTCAGCTCAAAAATTTAGGTGTGGTTCACATCATGATGTTCATACAGTGGACAAATTGGGTACGGTTTGCGTCCGGATGGCTATAATGGAACGACGAAGCAGTCTCTGGGTTCGTCAGACGACATATGTTCTGTTCGTTTGGCTGGAGCGAACGTGGAGGTTCTGTGACAACTAGAACTAGGTGTCAGGCCAAGCCTTTATGCTGCCCTTGAAGAGAGACTGATTGAGGCATGAGGGTAGAGTAGTGTGAGATTGGCAACTAAAATTCCTAGCAGCGTGCACCCTGTCGTGGTGGGGTGGGGCGGTCCCGCGCGACGTTGTCCTAGAGTAAGAACCGTGTGTGAATATCATTGACGACGAAACTGGTCTTCAGCCAAAAACACTGCATCTTCTCCAACGATCTGCAATTATGTCGTGCAGGGCGTGTATTTGTGATGAAGTCACGGCAATTTTTTGGGTCATAGTATAAGACTCCGTGAATTCATCAAGCTGGGAACATATATGTTGCACTTCGCGTTTTTAGCTCGCACCAGATGCTTTTTCACGGGACGAGCACAAGAAAAAGTTTGGTTGAGGTCACATGCTTTAGTGGGTTAGAGGTATGGCAGTCTTTGCTTTTGAGGTAGCAAGGTTGGACTTCGGGGGTTCTCACATTTGGGCTCGTAAAAAGGCATTTGACTCTACAGTTTTCTTGTGAAGGGGATATTTTGGCCCAGTATAGAGTGGAGGCACAGTTGACGAAGTGTTGAAGCTAGAACGTATGTGTGAGCGGGCGGGAACCATATAGACTGCATTTCGGAAGCAAAGAATGTTTGGAAGCATACGTCAGTACGGCGTTTCACTTTTACATCGCTCCCTAATGGACATCTTTGTCGAAGGTTTTCCGCAGTGGCTGTCCCGGATATTGTGGATATTGCCTCAAACAACTACCGCCAACCATAACCCCTGGGTCTATTCTAGCTGAGTCGCACCCTTTTTTCCGGGCTAAGCCTTTAATATCGCATACCGCGTCAACAAAATTGTACGGTCGAAATCGGTTTCGTTTTTCCCTCGTGCAAATTCGTGAATTTTTTTCGTTGTTCAATCTATCCACAGAGTACACACGAGTAATTGTTGAATTTTATTACTCTAACAAAACATTTGAGTGATAACCCTTTATATTTTGCGCACACCTATTTTACATCTAGTCCGAAACATGACGTCAATTCATACCGATCGCCC